ACTGGAATTTGTGTAGGGTACAGGAAACCCAGATGCTGGATATAACAGAAAATATTAGCTAGAGACTGTTGCAGTAAAAGACGACAATGTTAGTTAGCTCTCAGGAAGGCTCCCTCCTTTCTTTACAATTATCTTTGAGACTGAAATGTCTCCTGCAGCTAATACTACCAGTAAAGTGAAGTGAAATAGTCTTGCACTTCACAGTTGTTGTCTTAATACACAGAATTGAGAACTGTTTTATATAATTGAGCATAAAGATTTATGCCTCGTAGTATTTTATTCCAGCTCATGCAATTGTGTACATTCTCTTTATTCGTGTGAACATCTTTTATTATTTTAACAAATTAGCAAAATTGATGTAGTTTATATTTTTAATTTTAAAAAGTCAGTATGTTTTCCCCTAGTGGTAGTGAGCTGGGTAGTATTCATTTGTCCTAAGAGTACTATGTTGATTCTCTGTCTCCTAAAATTGTGACCTTTCTGGTAGTGTGATTTAACAGTGCTTTTGTGTTGAAATATGCTACATGTCTGGAGATGGATGCCTTATAATACTCTGTTGATATGTGAAAGAAAGCTAATCAAAATTATATTCATTCAGAAGTAATACTAAGATCTCTGAACCTCCTTCTTGGAAAGCAAAAGACACAAGCTATACATATATTTATTTCAATAAATATCAAATGTGGTTACAAGGTGGCAAGTTGATATCTGGTAATGATGGATTTTGAATCTTTTACATTTAAAACGCATAGCAGAATCCATGTTCTCATGGATTAGATGGACTACTCTTGAATCATTTTGAATGTTTACTTCAGTAACTTGTAGGCTAAGTTTTTCTTTTTTTTACTCCCAAAGACTGAACTAACATAAGACTAACATAAAGGTCTTATTCTGAGATGCACCAAATATTTCCAAACTATCTATTTCTAAATAATTTATCTCAGAATGCTTTGTAGATAAGTTCTCTGAAGTGTGTGCAGAGTGCTGCTGAAGAATGGTGTAATCTTTTCCTTATCAAATTGTAACACCTACATGGAGCTTTAATGAAATGAGGCAATGAATAGTACTTTAAAATATCCGTAATTAATTTCTCCAATAACATGTGGTTGGAAAGACAATATTTCATGTGTGAGATGATAAAGGCGAAAGAAAATATGTTTATTACTGAGATGTCTTTTGCTTTCTGATATCTTAGAGTTGTTTGTAAGTGAGCTTTTGTTTTACGGACACTCCCAGATGTGCTTGGAACCTGTAGTGCACACACTGACTTCAGTTCGATAATGTTTATTTGCAGCTACCTCTAGTAATATTTCAGTTATGGATTTGGCACTGTTCTGTGTTTCAGCACTTTCTAGCTTACATCAGTCCAGGCTTAGGTAGTTCTTCTGTTGGCGGAAGTATTTAATTATATGTTAATTTACCAGAACAAAGATAGGAAAGGTGAGGGTAGTCCTTATCTGAAAAAGTGCAGGGCTTTTTGATTAGTTACAAAGAAACTGTTCTGTAGACAGTGAATTTGGCTGTGTCAAGTTGGCACTGGTGGGGATTGATGGTCTTTCATGAGAAAGCCTGAAACCAAAATTTCCTTCCAAACTCCTGCATTCTACTGTGACTCCCACCTTGCTTTAGTGCTTGCAAGTGAATGGTTGGCAGAAAAGAGCCACAGTCCTGTTTTCTTAAGGTTCCAAAAGAATTAAGAATTTAGCATAATTTTTAAAAAGATGAAGAGTAACAAAAGCAATGGTAAGCAATGATAGTACAAAGCTTTGACTCTAGCCACAATCAATTTCAGAAGCAGGTGTGTATATGTATATGTACAGGACAAAAAGTTGATTCTAGGTGGAATACTGGAGGTCTTTTCATTTCTTTTTCCTTTAGAGAAAGTGAACATGACCTCCAATTTTTTATCATCTTCTTTCCCCACATTTGGAGTATGTGTGTGTTTCTTAGTTAAGACAAACCTGTTTTTTATTCATTTGTTTTGTTGTTATTTTTGTTCTTTTTCTTTGTTTTTTCCCCTATGCAACTTGGTGATTGCTTCTGTTCTGTAACTATGTAATTATCTTCCCTTGTATAGTGGAAATGCGAAGTCATGGCTTGAACCAGTGATTGAACACTTGGTGGGAAACAGTACAACTCAGGGAGCTCATGTGCATCCATTACTAAGCCAAGCTTTCCACAACTGATGGTCTGAAAGATATTTTGCAGGGTGGTGTTGCCATGTTTCTTCTAACAAAAATGCATGCTTTGACTCGGGGACATTTGACAGCAATCTATTTGTAGAAATGCATGGAATCTGTACCATCCTTCTCACAAACTGCAACTCACAATGCTTCACAAATCATATAATATAGTAATAAGGTTGTGATAAATATGCAAATGATGAGAGGGGGAGCAAAATCAGTAATTCCACAAGCACTGGAACTTATGAGTACTGGTTTCCAAGAATGTTTGGTGGTTTTATTCTCAAATGCCTTACAAGCTGTAACCTCTAATCGAAGTTAGTTTTCAGCTGTAATGTTCTCAGCACTACTGTATTACGTGAACTCATTGAATACATAAATACTCAATTTCAACAATCTTTTCTGTAAAGCATAGACTAGTGTTCTTCCATCCATTTCCACAAAATTTGCTGTAACTTTGAAACTCTATCAGACTTGTTTTAAATTGTCTTTTAAACCAGGGAGTCATAATTGTTCTTGAGAGATGTAGGTATAGACAGGTAAAAACCTAAAACTGACTGCATTAAAAGCAAAATAAATGTATTCAAACATGATGGTTGCATAAACCTGATTTCAGGAAACCGAAGTAATGCTTTTATCGGGTAAAATTTGGGACAAACTCTTACATAAGGAATTTTTTTCCGAAGCACAAGAGCTATCGTAGGTCTGGTCTAAAACACAGTTTCATATGTAAATGAACACATGCAAACTTAAATGTAACTAAACACCTATGTATGCTATATCTGTGAAGTAAGGGTAAGGTACACCAAAGAGGAAATGTTTAGTGAGGTAGTTTCAAATAAAGCATGTTGAAAACAAGAATAATTGGATTCTAAAATTAAAGAAATGTCTGGGAAGTGCCTGATTTTTTTAAGAGGTGAGATTGTACATAGGAGAAAACAGTGAAATTTTACACTGAGAAGAATTGGCAATTTTGAAGTCCACAAAAAAAGATGATCATGGTAGTTAAATGGATTTTAATTATGATGTACAGATACTACAAAAAGTGAAAGAAATCAATCTGGACATGTGGAGAACAAGATGTAAAAATATTAATTTCAAGAATTGTACTGAAAACATGGTAATAACTTCTGTTGTCCAACAGAAAACACTTCTGAGACTTTAAATAGGAAGGAGACAGCAGGAGTAGGGGGAGAAAAAGTATGAATATGAAGGAGGTATCAAATGTAAACACTGCATGAAGTATAGATAACAGTTAAAGATGAGCTGAGAGATGAATCCTGTAAGATTCCAGAAAATAAAATTGTGGAATAGAGATTTCTATATAGAGGAAGCTGGGCTTGGTTGAGCAAGAACTGCAAACTGGGGATGTAAACACATCCGTAAAATCAGATGAGTAGGGAAGGATACTTCTTGTGAAAGGTTATTATGATGCAAAGATTAAAACAGCTTCTGTGCAACAGCAGAGCAAAACTAAACCTACACTAGTTTTGGTGCATGTGGAGAAATGTCAGAGCGCTTTTTTTGCTGAACAAGGGGAAATGGTTTTAAGTTGAAGGAGGGAAGATTTAGGTTGGGTATCAGGGGGAAGTTCTTCTCTATGAGTGTGGTGAGGTGCTGGAACAGGCTGCCCTGAGAGGTTGTGGATGTCCCATTCCTCGAGGTGTTCAAGGCCAGGTGGGATGGGGCCCTGGGCAGCCTGGTCTGGTATTAAGTGTGGAGTTTGGCGGCCCTGCCTGTGGCAGGGGGGTTGGAGATTCACGATCCTTGAGATCCCTTCCAACATAGTCCATTCTATGGACTTGGGGAAAAAAAAAAAAAACTTATTACTAAATGCAGTTGGATTTCTAATTTGTGCTAGAGTTTTTCTGTCTCTTTTAGAGAAAATAAAGTGCCAATTTATTTAAGGTCACGCCCCATGTCTGTTTTCCTCTTACATTTATTATCTGCTCAATATATTCAGCAGTGAGTGTGTGAGGATATTAAAGACTCAGTGTAATTAGGCCTTCCATATTGAAAGCATTGTTACTCGTTTGCTATGATTTTTCCTACGGTTTGAGGATGAACAGTAACGTTCAGCCGAGTCACATTCAATAGCATTGTTACAAAGCAATGTCAGCAGGCTGTGTTTATGCTAATAACATGACCGTAATTTTATGGGTATTTATAAACACACAGAGCATGGAGACCAAAGCAAACGAATAAGTTAAAAACTTTTTTTAAATATACTTAAGAAGATCTGTGTGAATGTAAACGTTTGGAAAATTTGTGCAGCAGACTTCACTGTAGGCATTAGTATTTTGACCTTGTAAATAATGATATAAGCCTGCATATTTTTCACTTGAAATGTAACACAAAAAATTGTGGAAATTCTGTTGCTGTTTCTTAACCTGGCACAAAAAAGTTATAGATTTCCAGGCAGGTTTGTGCACATTTCTGACACTGTTCTATGTAATTCCACTATGGAATAAATCTACCATTAATTTTTTTATAGCCAAAGAATGGATCTCTTGCCATGTAACCTCAATAGGTGGAAATAAGTAAAATACTGGCTTATGTGTATGCAAGCAAAACTTTCTATATACTATTAACAGCATTTTTATGATTAACAATTCTAACAAACCCCATTAAAATCTTTGAATGTGGTGAGAGTAAGGCAAAGAAACTCTGTAAGCAAAAGGCACAAAATACCCGTGTGCATATCCAGCTCTTATGGACTTCCACAGTTCTGCGTTTGCTATGACTGTAGTAGCTTCTTGTTCACAGTGCGTAAATAGTGTTATGCGTAGTTGCTATGGAAGTAATCATATTCTCAGAACTCTTTGAACAGGTTTATTAATATTTCACTGTGTTCCAGTGACTCTCATTTTGACACAGATTTAAGCAGCTATAGTCCAAGTAAATTAATAGGTTAATATAGTCTAAGAATTAACATGACAGGTTAATTGAAAACACATTGTAAGATGCCTGTCCGAGGACATCTTTTATTCATTTTGCTGATATAGATTGTTTATTTTATACAAAGCTTTAAAATAAATAACACAGCACAGTACTGCATTATTAGTACCTCTTTTTTGGTATTAATCTGTGCTTAAGTGCCAAATGTTGTTGCTCTTTTGTATGGTTTCTTCGTATTTTTGGGTACTCAAGTGCTATAAATGTGAGCTGCCCAGCTGATATCATGACTTATGTTACAATAAGTAAATAACATACTGATGTGGAACAAAGCATTTTCCAAAATAAACCTGAATAAAAATACCAATGACAACATGAAAAATGTAGTGGTGCATGGAATATGTTCACCACAAAAACAGAATTTGAAAGACAAATGGGCAGAGAGAAAATATACACAGATTCCACTTAAATATTTTCAGAAGAATTCCGTAGTGATAATTCTTAGTGACAATCAGGTAAGAAGACTGTGATGTACCAGTTAGACGCTGAATAGTTTCTGCTTGTTTCAGAAGAGCAAACTACCTGTGTGGGTCATGTCATTTTTTTAGGTTTTATACTCGTCATAACTCTCAGAGGCAGAATTACCGTCCAGTAGATCTCTGCTCACAAAGCATCACAGCTATAGTCTGTCAACTCTAGAGATAGCTACAAGGATGTATACTTCTGAATTGATGATAGAACACTCATTAGGTTTCTTGTAGAAACAACTTTGTTGTGATATTTATTTTCCTGATTGATTCTGAAGTGGTGTCAGAGTCCTTAGTATTCAGTTTATGCTGTCTTTATGGCTGCTTCGATCTGTGTTGTGATTGTTTAATTCTTGGTTTTTCCACTGGATGCTTGTTCCATTCATGGGCACTGAAGTCGCTAAAGTTTTTGATTGGGAGCAGCAACAACAAAGACACGACTGAAAATTTGAAAAAAAAAAAAAAAAAAAGAAAAGAAATCTGTCAGCTCTGTGAACACTGCCAACAATATTTTTCGTTTTGAAATGAACAGAGGATTCTTAATGACATGAGCGATAGGCATGTGTGAGCAAAATTTTTACCCTACGACTGCAAATAGTTTATAGGCACAAAGTTACACGTAGGCCTGGCCTTTGCCTCTGATTTAAAAACAGCTTTCACAGGAAACATTGTAAAAGTTGGGTGGTTGTTTTTCCCTCCTGCTCACTGCACTTCAAACAAAATGTAAGAGAGAAAAAAGGACTTAAGTCTCTTCTCACATTTTAGAAGAAGGTAAAATTTTTTAGGAAAAGGGGTGGTGAGTATGTTGAGCTCTGTATCACGTATCATTTTTCACCTTTAAAAACAGAAAGTAAGCAGAAGGTAATCGCTGGCTAATATGTTCCTTTTTCTCACCTGAAAGGGTGAGGAATTACTCTTCAGCTTTTCTCCTGTCCTTTTGCAGAAACTAATGCTTAACTCTATGCAGATGGAAACTTTGCTTCAGGGGAAGAAGAGTTATCTCCTCAGAGGAGCAGTGGCAGTAATAACAGTAAATTCATGACTTTTCTGAACAAAATGAGAAGGAAGTGTTGGAGAAGGATGTGGCCAGACTTACGATACATGTACTATCTATGTGTGGGTGGCTAAATGTTAAGCTCAATTATGAAATTGAGAGATTGGCTGAAATGATCATCCTGTACTAGAAAAAGAAAAGGGAAGCTATAATGTGAAGCTGGAAAGGATCAAATCGTATCTGAAAATTACTCAGAATTGTTGGATGGTATTTTCCTTTGGAGAGTAAAGGGAAAAAATGTAGTAATGATACGAAGAATGTCTGTGTTACTCTTACTTAATGTCAGGTCGATGCATGCTATCTTCTCCACTATTCCCAAATGAAGTAGGGCACCATCAAAACCAAAGCTGATTTCATATTACCCATGTGGAAATACTCCCCCTGACAAATAGGTATTCCCTACTTTGATCACTTATTACATTATTTTCAGTATTTTGTGTTGTCTTTTTGAATTCTGGAAGTTTTGTAGCACAGCTCTATCTTTGTTTTTCTTTCCAGATTAACCATGTCTTCCTTTTCCCTCTCACCACTCTATAACACTATTTGCTCTCATTTTCTTTCTGTCATTATGGCCTTGCGGAGGCATGGTGTCACAGTTATTTTAGTGTAGGAACTGGAAGAATGCAGGCAGAAGCCATAATGTTTGTTTACTTACCAAGGTCAACTGAAGTGCCTGCTTTGATATAAAAGTCTGAAAACTTTAGTTAGGATTGTTTAACTGCTGTCAGATTTAGTGCCCTACATAAATGTCTTTTTTTTGCTCGTCTAGAGCAGTGAATAGGTTATCAACTGAATTCTATTTAATATACGTTACATGCTTATAAGCAGTACTTAGAAGAGCATGTCTATCTTGCTGATTGTTTACATGTGAAGACTGTGTCAGACTTATTTACTGATCTAGCACTTCAGATGAAGTGAACAGTTTTACATGTCTGCTATATGACCTGCTAGCTGGTGTCAACTTATTCATTCATTTGCATGCCTCTCCTATTAGCTGAGGAAAAAAAAACATAACAGCTGAGTGATTGAATACTGTTTAGCAACTGGACATAGTATCAAAAAGATCTTACCTGAAAACAGTTTTTAAACTTCTTGCTCACAAAATAGAGTGCTATTGGGTTTATACAAGAGTTCATAGTTGCCAGGTTGATGCTGATATAATCCAATGGCAGCAAGAAACTAGATGACAAAAAAGAAAGCAAAACTCATTCTTCATATGCTGTAGAAGCATACATGTTTTTGTTTACAATTTCTTCTGTCACAGAAACAAATTCTTTCTCACCTCTCTTATCTTTTTCCATGAGATACCTATAATGAGCAGTCTCACAGTTCAAAAGAGTCACAGGAAGGAGATTCCAATAGCAAATATATACAGTATTTATTGTAATTATGCTACGCTGTTAGAACATCCACCTGAAAATGGATGTAGTTGAAGAATCATAAAATGAAGTTGCATACACAGTGACATTTCTCACATAATCTTCAGATGCATGGCATTATGTATTGTTTGAGTGCAAATAACTTATTGATATGGAAAATGAAGTACCTGAGCAGTTCACATCTGCCGGGATCTCTTTCATTGTATACCATTTTCTTCAAAATTCGGCTCAAATGAAGGGGGAACCAGCAAAGAGCAAATATCACTACCAAACAGAAAACTGTCTTTGCAACTTCTCGACGCTAGAAAAATAAGATAACAATGATTTAGTGCCTAGTTCATACTGGTAAGAGATTGTAGTGATGTTACCAGTGAAATTAAATTGTTTAGACAAATGTGCAAGGAAAGTGCAGCTTCCAGACCACCTGAAGTCCCTGATCTTTTTTTTTAATTGGGCTTGCTGTGTTCTTAACTCTGGCAGTTCTCTATAGAACTTGCTCATCACTGAAACTGGCACAGTTGGGGCACACAGGGCACTGTCAGGACTTAATTGTTAGCCTAACGATACCGCTGAGCAGTCCAAAACCTGACAGCTTTCCCTGTCTTTCTTATTCCTCTTCATTGGGCTACTTCTCTGGCAATTTATCAGATAAACCTCTTTCTTTAAAAACATACGTACTCTCTAGGAAATTTTTTTCATGTATGAAGGAAACTGAAATCACTCCTATTTGATAAAACACTTTCAGGTAACGTAATGTCAATGTGATGTGATGTAATTTGTAAACTCAAGGCACCCAAAACAATTGGCAATAACAGTTCTATTGTACAATGTATCTAGTCAGGATGTCATTCTCCATGATAAATTATATTTGGTATACATCCTGTTGCGTAGAAGGGTTCTGCGGAGTATTATAATTTTATTGTTATCCTTGCAACATGATCTTGATGTTATGGAGTCTTTCTACAAGTAAAATTATGGATATGTCTATATTACAGCTTAATCTCAATACTTAGGAAAAAAATTATATTTAATGTGTATTCTACACAACTTTCAAGATTTACTGATGTATTAGTGAATTTTGGGTGATGTGTACCAGTGTTCTTTGGTAGGTGTAGATTTGATAAAGAGAATTAAGTAGGGATAAGAACACCACTTCTAGAACTGCTTTTGTAATGTGACAGGAGTAAGCATTTCAAGGTTGTTATTAAAAAAAACTTAGATGTATGAGCAAGTTTCGTTAGGCACTATCATGTTTCTTCTTTCTTATAAAGCAGTTGTTATCAAAATAGAAGGAACATAACTGGAAAATAATGTGGACAAGACTGAAAAAAGGAAGAAGGACAAAAAGTGACAAAGGGATGAGTACTGGTAAACTGAGGCAGGATTCAGTCCAGGTATATGCTGGCACTGCTTATCAAGCTGTGAAAGCTGAGGGGAGGATTCCCCTGAACGTACCATTGTGCTTCTAATGGGTAGAGTAGTCTTGTGTGGCCCTATGACGGTCTGAATTGCAAGACTTAGGGTCTGATGAGGGGGAGAAGGTGCAAAATCTGAGAAAGGAAAAGATCCTTCTGGTCTGCCCTTATCTGAAATGTGACAGCAGAGAAGAAATCTCTGAGAGAGCTCGCTCAGCTAGAGAGAACTGCTCTAGGGATTCACATTTGTAAATGTGGAATTTGGAAGGAAGTGGAATTTGAAGGGCTGAAATTAATGTTGTACCCTGTTGTCTGACTAACTGCAGAGAAAAAGCTACAGGTTGTTATTTAAATTTCAGTTAGCACTGTCTGATGTTTCATTCCTGCAAAAACATCATAGTGAGAACTGATGGTTCTGTGAGTGACTTTGTGATCGTGTGTTTATACTAGTCTTACTGCACTTTTCAAAGCAGTGAAGCTACAGCGATAGTAACTGCAACAGCACGGCAAGACTGAAAAAAATCTCTATTCTAAACCAAGTTATTCTAGAGTGGCTTTTCATATGAACCTAAAATTGCATATCAAAGCGCACTGAGGTAGGGAGGGCTCATGTAATAAAGAGGCAAGAAATTTATTTTCAAATCTTTGTAGTTACATTTCAAAGCATTTAGCCAGTAGTAATCTAAAATTAAAGAATGGGAGAACAAAACCATCACACTTGCTTAAGAAAAGAAATACACCAGTTACTTTCTTGAGCTGCCTTTAGTATCTCCTTATGTTATGATTTAGTCACGTGTTCCAGGATGGACTGAATACCTTAACATCAGAAGTAGCCTACATCCTCACTTCTTATTTCTGTAATTTAGTGTATTCAAACACACAAACATTTCTAAATTAACCCAAAGACAGAAGAATAGTATTTTCAAGCACTGGTGGTCCTAATATTTACCTGCTTAAGGTGTTCACTGAGAGCAATTCTCAAGTTGCTGTTCCTTCTGTTTAACATTTCACAAGTCATTAGCGTATAGAAGATGGCAGTACATGCCAGTGGCATGCAGAAATAGAAACCAAACAGCCACCAATCCTTTGCATCTTTGTAAAACTGTGGATAAGGTAAAGAGAAGAGAGAGTATTTTTATATGATTCAATTGAAAGTACCACAAAGATATGGGAATGGAAAGTAAGTATGCTTGCATGTGTCTACTTGTAAATGACCCTAAATTACGTAAACTTTCTTATCAGTTGGATATACTTTGGGCCAACATCAGTATGTGAATTGTAGCATTGTAAACATTTTACCTCAGTGACAATCTGCCTCTACTCTTGTTGCAATCTGTTTTGTACGGGAAGAAAATAATTTTGATTGTGTTTTCTGAAGCTTTAGGCTTATTCAAGAAAAGGGAGTTCAGCTCCAACTTCAGTATGATGTACAAGCTAAAATGTAGACGCTCAGTCTGAGATAACAAATATCTCTAAATGCCTGTCTCAGGAAATGCCATTTACCTCTGCAGCTTCTGCTCTTATTCCAAAAAAGGGAAATTCAAAATGCCTTGTAACTTTAGCCACCTTTACTTATCAGTGAAAGCACTGTAGTTGGTTTGTTTAAACGTACAGCTGATAGAAGCCTCTTCGTAGGTGTTTGTCTGATATATACAAAGCTTAGGACTGGTGTCTTCTATTGGTACAGTTACTTTTAACCCTTTGTGTGTCTTTCATACCATTTGACTTTTGTGATAGGACCCTGAAGGAAAGGAACTGATAGAGTATCCGTACTTGCCTGTGTAATTTAAATGCTAGTTGTGTTTTAAGTTAACACATTTATGCATTATGGGAAATACCATATTTGAAAAAGTATTTAAAATTATTGTTTTCTGTAGGCAGTGATATTTTCAGGCTAAAAACAATATTGTATCTTAATTCTTAAACTTCATGCACAGCCAAAATTGTGCACTGAAATATGACTCTTTAAGGACTTCCTGTCTCTACATTATTAGTCACTGAGATGGATATGTGTAAAAGGGAACCTTCTTTCTCTTAATCTTTCCTCAAGCTTGTTTATTCCTAGCGGATGTGCTCTTGTAACATCATGGTTCCCACACCAAATGTCAAAATGCTAATAACTGAGGATTATACAGATCCTGTTTGAAGAAGTCAAACTTTGACATCTTGTTTACATTTAAAACTGAAAGGCACTAAACTTTGAAAGATGAAGGAAACAAATGCAATGCAATAATCTAGTATCTAATAGTGTTCATTTCTTAATCTGCTTTAGTTACATCAGAGAGTTGATTTACTGAGAAAAAAGGAAATGGCTTTTTTTTGTCTCCATCTAAACCCAACAGTTAGCTGCTTGCTAGTTTAGAGTATGCTATGGTATCTAGGCCACAGCCCCGCTCTGGAGGCATCTTGAACTGTGCTCATTAGCTTGTTTCCTCCTCCTTATTGTAACCTCATCCCTGCACGAGGAGGGGCTGCAGTCTGATACATGGTTACACACTCCTCTAGGGCTGTATTTTCCCAGCTGGGACCTGAGCTTCTGCCAGCAGAAAAGCAGAAAGCAAAATGCCTCACATTTTAAGAGTTTGTACTGAGGAGAAATCTAATTACCACTCCTCCTGCAGAGAAAAGGATTACAAATACATGGAGCAATTGCCTGTTCTGTGGAAAATTCCTACGGGTTAGACTAGAAGCATATTGGTTGGGCAGTACAGTAAAATGCATACTGTGTTAATCCACACTATGTTTAAAAGGAAAAAGTTTTGCCATTTGTTAACCAGCTTCCATGAGTACTGCATGTCAGTCAATGCATTCACAGTCCTGTTTCACAACTCTGACCAATACACAAATTCTGTACGAAAATCTGACTATGAAGTAACAGATCCTGCACAAAAAGATCTGCAAATGGTTAATTATGGAATCTGGCTTTCTCAAAGCTCACATCAAAGCACAAAACTGGGTTGATTTAAGAGAACTAGACATTCTTTTGTTTGTCTTGAAAGCCCACATGGAACTAGTTTTCTACAGGAAATGTGCATTTTAAACAAGTTTCCTAGTGCACTCAGTCTCTAGGGAATCATGGTCTAGCATGAACCTTTCTAGTCCTTCAAGAATAGTTTTACAATTGAATAAATTACCCTATTAAAAATAAAAGTTAATCATAAGCCCTTCCCTAAGCTCAGTAATTGCTTATTTGATGTTTGTGTTAGTGAATATATTTAAGATTAAAATATTTCCATTTTAATCTCTTGTTTGTACTTGCTTGTGATACATTGAAACACAACGCTCTTTTTGACTGATGCATCCAACATTTATTCTCGGCTTGTACCTAAATGTTGATTTATATCCTTAAAAATCAAATTGGCATGGAGTGATTTAGATACTATTCTAAGCAAATAAGATACTAATTCCTGCCAATATGCAAAACAAACCAAGCCCTTCTACTAACTACATTAAGAACAGAAAAATAATCATTACTGTGCCTATGTGGGACCTGAAATAGTGTGCTTTGGAGAAACAGGATGAGAAAAACGTAAAACATTTTTCTCAGGGAGAGAGGAAGTACAGACTGTCCAACCACAATTATGGAGAGAAGTTGCTATTAAAAATGGACAGACTTACACTTAGTGCAGTATGCATTTCATAAAGCATACTTTTAACTATCTGCAAGCCACATTGTCTGTGCGGTTGAGAAATATACTAGAAGTTCTGAACAGTTCCACTTCCTCTTCACCTGTGTTACTTCCACTAAGGATTTGCTTGTGTTTTCTCTTGCTCTTGTTTCTGACTGCCATCCCTGTAGCCTGTGTAACCCTGCCAAAGTTGATGATATTCTACTGACAAACACAATTCCTGCACCCTTTTTATTTTCTACATTACTCGCTTCATTTGCCTCACCCTTCTGAATTCTAACCTAAGCCATGTGAGATTACATTGGATCTAGCCCAAGATCCAGTAAAAGTAGATGTATCAGGCATTTGAAAACGGTTTTCTGTCATTAAAAATTCTGGGTCAGAAAAACTGCAGTTTCTTTCAAGATCTTGTTATCTGCAACTAAACGGAACGAATCCTTTTTTTCTATTTTTTTTTTTAATTAATTTGTGAGTGAAGGATGGCCCTTCCTTGGGTTCACAGGGAAAAAGATATTTCTTTTCCTTTTTATGAGGGTAAGACCAAGCAGAAAATCACTATCCCTCTGTGCAGTAAAGATAGGTTAACTCTGTACTGACTGCTCACCTGACTTGCTTTGAACAAGCTAACATGGATATTTGCAACTGGAAAAGTGCAGTAGTGCAGAGGCTGAGGGTTATGAAATTTTCCTAAGAATCCTGGTGTGTGCTCAGGCATTTCTCTTGCTCTTGAGTTGCAGTGCTTAGGTGACAGCTGACAGTGCCACAGCTACCTAGGTTGGACATACGAATCTGTCAATTTCATAACTGTAATTTCTGACAAATGAAGGGATTGTTCTCTGATTTTTGGACAAGTGTTTCAAATAGGAAAAATTAAGTTAGAGCTTCAAAATGTTATACCTGGAAACACAGAGCCTCCTAGGGCTGTGACTACACTCTTCATTGTTCTTTAATCAGGCCCAAATTGCAGATTACCTTATTAAGAATTCTTAGCAGTGAATGATGTTGTAAAGTCACATTTGGTACTTTCTGAATCAAAGTAGAATCTGATACCTGTATACTGAAGTCCTTCTTTGCACCAATACATATTAGAATACATTTTGCACCTTAATAGATTAACAAAGTGCAAAGTCTAATTTATATACAGTGGATTCAAAAGAGGGGAAAGGATGTTACTTACGAACATGAATTTATTTGTAGGGTTGAGCATGCAGGTAACGTAACTTTCATCCTTGTATTTGAAAGGTACCACAGCAAAACTAATGGCTTCTGGAATAGCCAGTATAAAAGACAGAAGCCAAATGGAGAAAATTTCAATAGCAGTGATCATAGGGATTCCAATTCCCTGAACGCGGCTCCAGGAGGCAACTGCTCTATACCTGCAAGAGACAAGCATTAATTTCCAATCTTTGTTCTTCCTCAAATTCAAGCATTTTGCTTCAGTTTGATATATGAAGTAAAATCCTAAAGCTGACATCTTAGCTTTGCACTGCTTGTTCTTCTTGCTTGCTCCAAGGACTCTGCCAGCTGTCAAGCCACCCAGGGCACCCAGTAGAGCACATCAGGAGGTGGGTAGTAGAAAGTTGGATGCAATTTTTAGGCTAAGACACGTGATTGTATGGCATTCTGTTATATGGATGTTCTTATGGTTACTAATTAAAGTAGGTAAGGTCTGTGAGGGCAGACTGTATTTTTTACTAGCTCAAGTGATGTAACAGAAAACAATTTCTTTCTAATGCAGTAGCTGTTATTAAAAAATAAAAAATGAGGCAACTATAACCTTGCACTACCTCAACTTTAACAGCAGTGCTGTCTGAAGTGGTCAGCTTGACATACAGTGAAATATTGTGAAAATATTCTTCATCATGTGAAAATATATTTATTTACACTTTTTAGTGCTAAAAATACTGTTTTTATGAGGCACATTCTATATCGACCTTAGGCTACAACAGAGTTGGATCCTTCTGTCAGTAATCTCAGCCCCTGCATTACCTTTCTTACGAGAAAATGAAGAGCGTGGCTAAGAAGGGTGCCCATGCCAAAAGTAGCAATTTTCTCCACAACTTTATTCCCTAGATATTAAGCTTCTGCTTTAAAAAAAAAAAAAAAAAGAAAAAAAAAAGAAAAGCAAAACACAACAAAGCAAAAAAAAAATGTCTTTTTACTGAAAGCTGCTTTGCTGTATGAATGCGACTCATAGTTTGAAACACAGATAAAAAGTAAGAACTCTAAAAAGTTTCAAATATAGCAAGTGCACTTACAGCATTTCTCCCTTTTCATCTTCCCCTTTTTACCTTTCCTGTCCCTCACGTGATGGATTCTTGTTACAGGCTGCAGCTTTCCCCCCATTCAGGGAACATAGCAGGCCTTTCTCTTCTACTTCTCTGCCAGATTTCAAGGCTCTTGTAGGAATTTATTAGCTTTGAAACCTCAACCTCTCTGTCAACTTTGATCAAAAGGTTCAAAAATTATTGAGAGAGAAGACTGATAGGAATGTAATACAGAGTACATACCAGTCCATAAATTAAATTTTCAGTAGCGGATTTGATTGTTATCTACCCATACTGCAACAAACGAGTTACTTAGGATTTCCAGAAATTTAGCAAAGATAACTATCTAAAAGTTGTGGAAAGAACAAACATCAGTTTTGTTTTTGTAATAATCTGAAAAGCATTTTGGAGAGCCTTCTGTCATTGGCAATGTCACAATTTCTAAACTGTGTTTTATTTTCACGAAGTTATAGCACTTTCTCATTTTGAATTACAACGCTACGTGGGCTTCTAGTAGAACTAGTCTTTAGCTGAGGAGAGAAAATTATGATCGCAGGAAGTCAGAGTGTTGATATGGGCTCAAGGATGGCAGGGGTTTAAGGAAAAGAGTAGCTGAAAACTTTGTATTAAGATGCTTTGTACTGAGAATGGCTGGAGTTTGAGTTTCTGAAATGGAAATAGAGAAGACTTTCTGATGGGATGAAACTGGTGAAGGGTGTAGAACGTAGGCTTCTGATGTCAGTAAGAAAAATTGTTATTAATGGCAACCACACCTCTCCTCTAACCAAAATACTAGATTACAATTGTAGAGTCACATATACAGCATTTCTTCTGATTTCCTGTTTCACCACCCCACCCCCCTTCCTTTTTTTTTTTTTTTTTTCTGGAATTGTACTCATTATCAGGATAAAACACATGAATTAAATCCCATGTATCCTTTACGTTAGAAAAAAAAGATGCAGAAATGCAAGATCAGGCCCTCGTAAAATCTTCAGAAGGCATTATTACAGAACATCACTGGAAAGTAAATGTTAAAATGGTTGCAGTAAACAGATTTGAATCCTTGTCTTTGATAGTTATAGTAAGATCATACACAGTGCAGTCACAGGTGCATTAGCAATAGGTTCTTAGTGCGACATTTTAATTGAAGGGTATTTATAAAGATTTTGAACATACTAAAGCAAACCAACGTATTGTGGATTTGCAAATAAAGAATACATCTGGAGGTTTTCATTTTGATCTCTTAAAAGTCTCAGAAGGGAGACAGTAGTTTACTTACATAGAAGAAGCCTATGAGAGTGGTATTCCGGGAGTATTGAAACAAACTATGCTGGAATAATTGAGAAAATAATTCTCATCATCAGCTTTTCTCACATATTTATATTAAAATACAAATCAAATTTGGAGTATTTAGTGATCTTTTTATATTTCACTTTATCAAGTATCAAATTTTAACTTTTATTACTAAGTGGAATATTCTTTGGAGTATGCACAAAAATACGCAGTATTTGTACTAAGCAAACTCTGGCAATATAGCAGCAAATTTGCAGTTTATTCTTTGCTAACTGGCAACCTTGCAATCAGTTCATTCAGCTACAGAGCATGGGACTTTCCCATCATCCTTGAATGATATTCTTAAATACAAGACTGTGGAATACATTTTTTTTTTCCAAATAAGAAATAAATTTTTGTGCTGTGTTCCTTGTGCGACTATGTAAATCAATACAAAGAAGTTGTAAATAATGAATCTAACTCTGTCTTGCATTTTTTTTTATACCTGTTCTCTTCAAGTTATGTCTGCTCTGAACAGGAGAAGATCAGTCTGCACAGCAGTAAGGGTTTGGATCATACATTTTGGTGTTTTTTTTCAGTTCACATTTCAAATAACCATCAGATGAGGAACTGCTGACTGAAAAATATTATGAGTGGTTTCAGCTAAAGGATGGGAAGCTTACTAATTAGATCAGAATTTCCTGAATATGTATTAGCCTGCAATTACTTGGTCTCTGCTCATTGCTGTAAGAGTGAATTGAAAAACTGTGGTAGTAAAATGTTTCAAGTGGGTGTTCTGTAGGTTTTATTATTTGCATAATCTTTGTCTAGGCACAAAGATCCCTTAATTAGGAATGGGAAAATACTGCAGGGTTTATTTCCCTCACATTTAAAAGAAAATAACATAGGATGTCTGCCAGGGAACTGAAATAAATTGAATTCTTCAATCTAAAATCTATGTTCATATTTTATCTTTTCTGTTTGTTTCCTTTTTCTTTCCAACCTTGTCTAAAGCGTTCAGCTCTTTTCCAGGTCATTTCCTTTTCCATGTTTAGTGCTGTGGCTTCTTTTTTTTGTTTTGTTTTCTACTGCTCACGCATATGCTGTCAACTTCAGTATATTGTGCCCTTCAATTGCTTTCTCCTCTCTGTTTCCTCTCTTTTCTTTTCTCCTATTCTTATCTATTTATTGCAGCTTGCTTGTTATGGTTCCTGCAGGCTATTCTGCTACTTGTATTCAAAGATGCACAGTACTTAAGGACAAGGGATTATTGCATCATGAAGTATATGTACATAAAACTAAATACTTTGCACTCCTACCTAGCTATAACTTGTTTAAAGCATGTCTTACAGAGGGCATCTTGTCTTGACCTGAGAAAATTAAAAGCAACACACCTTCACCTTTCCTTTGTGATTTCTTATAGTCAATTCTCTCACGTGTAATTTGTTTTCATTTGGTATGTCTGGCTGAAACTTTGATTAATAAGTTTACATTACATCTTTTTTTGCAAAGCTAAAGAGCTCATGAATAACTGATACATCATCTGTATTTCAGAACTTGGACGTAATATTGAAGTGGCTTCTTCTGTGTCATTTCTGAGATCTGTAAGGCCGCTGAATAATTTCTGGTGCTTTTTTGTTTTTTTACACCCTCTCCATGATTTCACCATTGTTTGATTAAAAAAAAAAAAAAACAGTTTCTGAACTCTAATTAGCCTTTCAGTGTAAGCCTCGTTAACGCTGTAAGCTTATGTTTTCAGCTGTGACTTAGATTTGTTTCTGGAATATTTTGGAAGTTTTTTACCATAGTGGTATCTAATCATAATTGAAAAAGAAAACGTGCTGTGGGCCTTGTGAAATGAAATCGAGGAGCATATGGAAATTAAATCATGGCCTGTAACTTTTCTGTAGCCAGTCACTACTCAAGCTTCTTATCTTTTGGAGGAAGTGACTTTGTTTCCCTATTTCTTTTGACTGCATTAAAATTAGGTGTTCTAATGACCCACTAGTACAACATATTTCAGTTCTGTGAGTAGTACCAGGCCTTTATAAAACAAGAAAAGCAATAGAGAAGTCATTCAATACTTGATCAAGTACATGAGAAATGGTTACTCTCAAAGTTAGCATTTTATGCCTCTGCTGATACCTATCTATTTCTCTTTGCTGCGAGAGATTACAGCAGTTCCTCATTCTGAAGATAGCTCACTGTGTGTTGACTGCAATATAAGTTAATAAATTAAAATTAGGAGTCATTAATATATTGATATTAATCTAATATCTCTTAATATAGTAAGGCTTATGCTGCTTTGCTTTGGTATTGCAGTCTTGACTATCTACTATTCTCACTGGAAGTTGGTCCAGATGAAAGCAACTAAGCTGTGTGTCCTATGAATTTTCTATGCAGAAGAAGCAAGAGTGTCTGTTTATGACATGATATCCTTGTCTTCACTTTTCTTAAAACCATCTTCTCATCAAAATTGTTATGTCTAAGATATAAGTAAAAGTAAAAGTTCAGGAAGGAGAACATCCTTTCTCCTCATCGCAGTCAGGGACTGTTTAGAAATAAAGTCAAGCTATCATCATCCTCATGACCCAGAGCTTAAAAATGCCTGAGAGGCATCTGAAATAAATGTGAACTTCCTCTGAAGGATGATGACTCTTTTGGTGTTTTCTGTCAGCCTCTTGAGATGATGTGTAAGTGGACACTGTTTCCCTTGGGAATGCACAGTTAAATTTTAACACTGTCAGAGCAAGCTGTTCTGTGTAAGGGGGAACTAATAATGAGTAGAGTTTCACAGTAACATGCAGTTAACAAGGGGACCAGTCCCTTTAGGAAAGAGCAAACATCTTGTTCTAGATCAAGACTGTGGTCTACAAATAAGAGTTAGGGAATCAACAATTATCAAAGCTATAAAGCTCTGAATTCGTCGTAGCAACTGATTCCATCTATTTCCATACTGCGGAATTCAATCCCGTATATAAGCACTCAAAGTAGCTGTAAATGATGTCATTTTCAGGAGCTTTTCTATGGGAAAAAAATAAAAACAAAATGTAAAAGAACTAGCTCATAAACCAGGAATAGTCCTGCTGTAACAGCTCACAAGTCCATATTTACTCATTTTCTTTATTAAAAGGTATGCAATAGCTGATGTAGAATTTTGTTGTGACTATACCTGATGTTCCAGTGCCTGACATAATTTGCTTAAGGTGCTTTCAGATTCTACTTTAATGTCAGTTTAACCCAGATTTACTTTGTGTTAGCCAGGACAAGACACTGGCTATACATACCTGTTTTCTAACACACATTCTCTGTGGGCATGTATTACAGTAGTACCAGCTGGTAAAGAATATGTCCTTGGTGAAGCATGTAATTTAGAGGAAATAAAGCAGTCCGAGTCTGATCACGCACAAGATTTTATACACGAATAGAAATAGTATTTGTTCTTGTAAGGATTAGCAAAAGATTGCTTATAAAAATACATTCATATGTAAAAAGATAGCTTCAGCTGAGTTCCAGTTATTAAAAATGTGTGTAGTAGTAGGACTATAGCTAACGAAACATTGGTGAGCTGTATTGGTGAGAATTCTGTGAACAAACTGAGTTTTCATATGCGCTTGATCTAGAGTAGACTTTGGCATTGTATTTTATACTGAGCAGACGTTGTTTGAGAAGTAGAATTTTTTTTACTATTTTCAGACTTACTAAAGAAACAGAGCGCTTACTTGAGGAGTTTGTTTCTTCTGAGCTAATGAGTTCGTTTAATGAGTTACTAATGTAATAAGGAACTGTATTTTGGGTATAGATACTAAGTTCTCGTTCACTGCAAAACCTTGTATATCAAATTTTCATATACAATCAAATATTTTTCAATTTTCATTTATCTTTGCATCACTATGTTATTGCACAGAGGGGATTTGATTCATCAGTGTTTCAGAATTGCTGTAGACTAGAACTTGATCAAGTTAACTCAAGATCAAGAAAAATAAAGAGATTTGAGAGAAGTGAATTTTCATTCTACTACTGCTTAACATGTGTACATAAAAAAAAGCATAAAGTAATAATTAGCTGTTTTCCTCCCGTAATATTTACGTACCTTCTTAGACCCTTTTAAATGAAACATTAATTTTCAAACTACCAACATCAATATATCAGAGCAGATTTCTGATATATTTTTCAATAAATTCAATTGGCTTTATGAGCTATAAAAATAAACATTGTGATTGTAGTACATAGCTAATGAGTTGAAAAACTATTTTTAAGACTAAAGCTTATGATCCTGTTCAAATATGAAACAGTGTGTCATGTGAAAGCAAAACAGACTGAATACTGACTGAAATCCCAATTATAATTATAATTCGAACTACAGGTGTGGTGTGACTGGTTATAGCCAGGATACCAAAAAGCAGTATGAAGACTATAGTATTACCACTGAAAATGTACAGAGTGCTCCTTTTTACAGGAAAACTGCAAGGGGAAGAATGTTGTCTGTCTAAAGTGTGAAATATACCATACCTGTCCACGCTAAGTGCACAGAGATTAAGGACTGTGATTCCCACTGATGCCTTCTGTATAAAGGGAAGGAATTTGCAAAGAAACTGCCCAAATTCAGAATCTCCAAAAGGCCACTTCTGAGCCAGGAGCTAAAGGAAAGATAAAAAATAATCAGAATATTTGAACAATAGTTTAGCAAGTATGTAACAAGTATAATTCTTTCTTGTCTTAAACACAATCATTGTTATCTTCAGTTTTTCACACATCAAAGATATCTTTAGTACTGAGTGGGCCTGGGAAGTAACTGCTGCTGTAGGAGCATGAAGGGTGAAAATTTAAGCTTAAGTGTTGACCTTCTACACTTGTATTGTTGAAAGATCTTTTGTTCATGTGCTTCATCCACTAGTATTTAATAGTGAAAACCTAACTCAACCCCATCAGAAGTGGTTGCAGTTAGCACGTCCCAGAACGAAGCATTCAAAGCGTAATTCATAGTTCATAATAAAATACCTCAGAGCTAAATTCCCATGCTTGCATGCAAGTAGATTCTTGTCATTGTGAATGTACTTCTGCGTAAGTCATGTCAGTATTCACTGCCAGTTTCTTAACTGCATGTGGAGGAAATAGTGTACATACACAATTAGTTCCATATTATGTTCTAAAGGAACATGTGGTAACAGAAAGGCATCTATTTGGAAGGATGTGAATGGGTGACTGGAGTTTAGATCAGTATTATTTTTTTCTTGCATACCATACTGAAAACACTCCTTTTTCAAGGAGAGCTGAGAATCTTATTTGACATCAGTACCACTGCAGACAGAATGGGACCATCTTTGCAATGGTATTCCAGTTTAGGCCAATAGTATTTAACAAAAACAAATCCCCTTGTACCAGAGGATAGTTAATGGATCAGTAGAATTGAAGATTTTGCTATTGTCAGTACCTTCCATAATGAATGCAATGAGATTGTCTGCAAGCTGTTGAACTGTTCTTTTGGTTTTATCTGTACAGACTGAGTGAAACACATTGAAAGCTCCGGTAGAATTATCTTCTGGATGGACTGGCAACAATAGAACAAATGTTTTCAAGGCATGTTTTTGCTTTTTGCCAGAAAATCTTGCATGAGTCTACAGTTTATGTGAGGGGCTGCAGAAAAACTGTTAGAGAAGGAAAGACTTTGTCTGAACCTGAAGTGGATCTCCAACCAGTTGTAGTCAAATGGAATTTCAGCTTCACTTTCTCAATAGTTAGTGATCATCTGGTATCTGGGTTTGGCTAAAATCTGAATAGTTTTCAGGAACCACTGAATGAAAGCTAAGTAAGTGGCACTGCCAAGGAAAAGAGGTTCTAGCAGACCTTTGTTGATTTTTATCAGTTGTTAAATAGAGCCCCAAAACAGATTTATTGTTATAAGTCACACTCTAAGTGGCAACAGAAAAACAGCCCCCAATTTGTGTGCACTTTGTCTGTAGCATATCATCAGCAATAGAAATGAACAAGCACTTTGTACTGACCATGAAACTGGTACTACAAAGCAAATATTATCTTCAAAAAGAGAAGTGTTGTTCTTGAAAAAGGTTCACTTAGCTATTACTCCTCACAGGGAAGCTTTATGGACAGTTTCAGCATGTACACATCTTCCCTGAACCCCAGGAAGCTCTCCTTTTTCGAGATGAAAAGTATTTTATTCCTTTTGTTTCTTACACTTTTCCAGTAATTGAAGTACTGCCATTACCAAGTCCTTAGACATTCTTTTCAAGTTGATTTTAATCAAAATCACTAGGATCAGGAGCAAGTTGCTTGATTTTGAAGATGAACTTTGCGATCATTTCCGTGCATATCCTGCATTATCATTCCACATCAGCTGTGCATCCATTACTTCACTTTGGATCAGGTGCCAGCTTTTTTCTTCTGTAGATATTTTTAGTCAGTGGTTTTCTAATTTTGCATCAACACAAGTCCATTGCCCTCTCTTCTACTCTAGCAGAATGTAGAAACTTCAGAGGGAAGTAGCACATTTCTTTTGAACAAAAACTTAGACGCAGAAATTTAATTGAATCAGTTCTGATTTACTCAGATGCAGTACTGGGACCTTGCTCTGCTCTTCTAGTGCTTTTGCATGTTTTAATATCCAAACAAAATGGAGGTGAAATTCTAGCAGATTACATTTTCTCTCAAGCCATAAGGATGGGAGGAATCAGGCTGATTATCCTAACTTGTTTCCTAGTTCCCCATGACTTGGTCAAATGGATTCTGCTTTTGCAACCCCACTCAAAAACTCAGAGTTTTCAAAATAAGACTTGCGGCAAAGGAAGTGCACGTTTCCCCTTGTGTATTTGCAGCCTAAGAATATTTCATAAGGTTCAACTGTGGAGCAATTCCTGTACCAGAAGAGAGTATAGTTCAAAGCATATTTTTACATATCAGAACCAAAATTTCAAGGTTCTACAATCTTTTAAAAAAAAAAACAAAAAAAAAACCCTCAGTAAAGTGACCAGAAAGCTGCAGTTTCCCCTTTTTTCTGCTCCTTTATATGGCCTCTCTGCCCCAATCCTGCAGCTCGAAACAAACAAGACAGCAGTGCTGAGAACATTCCTTTGCAGTGATTTTTAAATGTCACTCAGCTGATTTTATTCTACTGTTGTTGCTATTTTCTAACCCCCATTAGCATGCTAGATGATGTACAAAACACAGATAAAGTCCCACTGTGCATCTCTAGCAACTTACTTATAGTCTAAAAGAGAGAATGTTATAATCTAACCACATGAGCATTTATCAGTACATGCTCATATGCATCCAGTGTTTATCTAATTCTAGGCTGATACTGTGTGTTTAAAGGCGGTTGATGACCCTGAAACTCAGCCCAAAATAGATGAACTGGGTTGGATGCTGGCTGTGAAATAACTCTCTAAAAACCTGCTTTGGTTCAACAACTGTGTTTTAAGGTGTCCTCTCTTTCTGCCTCATGGCACTGAGGTTGAAAGCAAAGGTTTTAGTATATCTGCCTCTTTCTGCTCTAATTACATCCTAGTGCTCTAGAATCTTCCTTTTCTTCCCGTATCTGCTTGGCATCATTGCTGTGCAGATAGACAAGTTATGTTTCCCAGAAGCTTCTTGACCCCCGTGGTGGATATTCTCTTGAGTTTCATGAAGTGTAGGTGCTTGGTGATTCTGATGGCACAACTATAGCAGTCAAGTTTCAGTCTGTCTTCAGCAGGACAAATTGAAATATTCTTTTTTATTTCCTGACTTCTGTTCAACTTGTGCAGTGATAGATACAGGGTCCAGAACAGCAGATTTCTGGCTGTTTACTTAACTTCTAGTTGTATAAGCTACCATCATCTTCTAACTGTGCTGTAGGAGTTATAAAATCAGTGTACTCCTGGGTGATGTCCTTTCCTTGCAACATAGCACAGAATGAAATATGAGTCATATCACATGGGATTTTGTCATGTTTCCTGTAGGAAATGTTGAGCTGTGCAAGTGCAGCTCTGTCTTAAATTGTCATCTACACTTAGGTCTGTTTCAAGGCATGGGTCAAATATTATATCTGCTGTTTCAGCTGGAATTCAGGTGGAATCTGACTGTACACAGAAGCATCCAAGAGGATACTGACTTAACAACATTAAGTGACAAAATACGTTAATTCTGACCGAAGTGTTCCAGTCTCCAATGTGTAAGACTCATTGACTAGAAAGAAGTGTTCTGCTTGTAGTATTTTGGTTGCAATATTTTGATTTAGTGACTTTGCCAGGACCCTTCATGTCCCTATGAAACTTCACAGCACAGAAATTCATCCTTTCAGGTCTTTCTCTTCTTCCTACAAACCCTGTACCCTGAAGAGAATTGCACTGCAGGACGACACTCATCCATTTCTACCTTAGGACCCACAAAACGTTGCACACTCCAGATATATGCCTCAGCTCTGTTCTACCACTTTGCATGTGAGGAGAGCTGTAATAGTGAAGGAGAGAGGATACTGCCTGCCTCTAAGTGTTCCTACTATTCACTCTTCCCACTGCTGGGGTGAAAGTCCTCAACTTTGGAAGGGTATTGAGTATGGGAAAATTAGAGGAAAACAGGACAAACCTTGGTAGTGCAGGACACAAGACTAACATTGAGAATATCAAGGTGACTCAACAGTTCAGGCTTCTACTGGCTTTGGTATCAATTAGTATTTTGCTTACACCTAAAATCATGAAAACAAACTGTATCTCTTCTGCTATTCTTTGCAGGAAATATTCTTAATTTTGGTACAGCCGATAGCTGTCTTCTTTCCAATTTCCAGGGGGTTTCAAGGTGGACTGTTTCTTCTGGAAGGAAAAAAGGTTTTGTGGGGATGCAGGAGTAGCTTCAAAGACATTTTTTTCCTCTATTGTCTTATTATAGCTTATTCTGCCACTTTACTCAGCTGAGTGAAAATGAGCAGTCATTTTCTCTTACTTAGGCATCTGGGGAAAGGAATGTATAGTTTTTACAACAAGGGAAAATAAATTATGCTTGAGAAGGCCTGGAAAAAAAGCCTTGATTTTGAAGAAGAGTTTTCTATCTCACGTAACAGGTGAAAACCATAAATCCTAGTTTTTGCATTCTCTTTAAGATTTTTATATTTATTACAAGAATCTACTTAGCAGCAAAGCATTCCAGAAAACTCTAGACATCTTCCCTGTGATGTTGTACTGCTTATGGAGTAGAGTTAATTATTTTTTTCTGGTTGTTTAGTGCTGATGGCTAACTTCCCATCTTTTTAATTAAGACTGTTTCTCAAGCTGTGCTCTTCATCTTCAGAAAAATGTTTTGCAAGATGTGCTTATGTGCTCAGTAATTTGCTATGGGCTTGTCCTTACACTACTTCAGCACAAAATTATAACTACTATGGATGTCACTTGCTCAGTTAGTATACAGAATCCCTCCTGCTATGTTTGGTGTCAGTGGTTTATGGGCTGGAATGGTTTATAATGTGGAATACCAGTAAGAAAAAATCATAAAACCATAACACTTGGTTATCAGCATTGTTTGTGTATAATATTCTGTCAGTGAAAGCAACCAGATAAGCCAAAAAACTTGTGATCTAGAAGAGATGATTCTAACACTTCAGCATTTGCTATGATGTGAAAAGTGTTCATGACTAAAAATGCCTGAGCTAAGTTTTCCTTTACAGCTGAAAATATCTGCTTACTGACAGCTAACTTTTACATTTAACTTTATAATGTTCTAGGTGAACCACTCAGATCTAGAAACCATCGACACTAAAGCATAAACATAAACATGAATAAGAAAATGTAGTTTGGTAAAGAAAGCAATACTGTGATGAGCTGTTTGAAAAGTGGACACTCAAGCTTTTTGTCTGGGTAAATGTGTTTTACGTTATACTGGTAAAATAATTAAGGAAAAGTATGTAAAAATGAAACAGGTTAAAAACTGGCATCTATAATATGATGACTTAAGGAGTTAAGAATATTAAGATTTAAGATGATAAAGTTAACATAAACCTGATATAGTTTCTTTTTCAATAAGTAGAATTCATTTAAAGAGTTGTTGTTTGTTTGTTTTTGCATAAAAATGGAAGTGGAGACTGCTCAAAGCTTCTCAGTAACATCTTTAATGCTGAACTTTGACATTCTGAAGATGAGAACCTGGACCTAGAATGTTACTAGCTTCATGAGCTCAGGAAACTTTCTGTTTCAGAAGCAAGAGAGCTTTTTCTATGGAGAGAAGCTGCTGTTCTTGCTGCTGCTCCTGCTAAACTAGCCAGTGATAGCAGCAGAAGCTGTAAGGGCTTTCCAAAGGTCTGATACAACCAAGATGACATGTTCTGCTCTTCCTGCCTTAGTAAACTGGCTAGTTTCTTCATAGAAAGTAGTCCCCTAAATAAACCATCATACATAAAGTCCAAACTTAACTTACTTCTGCAAGTGTGTGTGTGGCAGTGATGGGTAATGTGGGCGACGCAGCAGCTTTCAGGGATGTGCTGTGTCACCTGATTCTAGAAAAGGAGGTATGAATCTCTCTCTTCTTCAGTGCCTTAACCTTACCTCTACAGCACCACAAAGCACTATAGTTCCCAGTCTCCTTTTCACTGAAAATAAGTAAATCTCACTGATTTGGAGGCTTCATGGTTTGACATCGTGAATATCTGAGATTTGTATGTTTTGCATTAAGAGAAAACTATTTGGGTCCAGATTCGGTAAGTGTGGCTGAAAATGAAATTGTGTTAGAATGACTGGTTCAGTCCATTAGGGTGGATTTATAATTGGCATCCTTCTAGTAAAGCTTTTTTGTTACAAATTTTAATATTGATTTGATCCTGTAAGTGAATATACTAGAGGTAATTAAGCCTGATGGGACTTTAATATATTCAGGATATCTTCAAAGGAGGCTAGTGAATATTACTAACATCTCAATCCATTTAACAAATTGCTAAGGGGAATCCACCATATAATTACAGTAATTGGAGAAAGTAAGTGGGAATTCTTGAGTCTACTCAACAGTAAAGAGTGGATAAAAATGTCAAAAATCTGTGACCATATCTGTATCTGACATCAATTATGTAATTTCTTTGTTTTTTCTTTTTTCCTTTTTTTTTTAATGTCACATCATTGTTAATTGCATAATAGAATCATGGGCTCATTCCTCCTGGGACCTTATATTTTCCAATTACTGTAATTTGTTAACTGCTTCTTTCTAAAGATCAGTAAAATACTGAAATCTGAATCTGTAAAATCTGAATATCAGTAAAATTAACAGCTTCTCTTCTGGAAGTTTTTTCAGAATAATTAAACTACCTTATGATTCAGGAAAGTAATTATACTTATTTCTCATTTTTACATTGTAATTACACTGTCTTAGAAGCTTTGGCACTGTAGAATCTGGCCATCTTAATACTGTACGACTTGTTTATTTTAACATGCAGATGAATGCTTGCTTTACTCTGATTCTGATTTTAAAGCTGTTTTGTCCTCCTCAGAAGGAAGATCAGACTTGTAAGGTTTTAAGTGTATGACACCATTTATTTATATAGGATATTTGTATAGGATATAAATTTATGATTCAGCATAGAGGCAGCTAAAAGGTTGTTCAAAATAAAGTTTGGAACTAATTATATAAAATACTTTTAACATCTAAGCTTTAAAACAAGAGAAGTACTTTTTTTCCTTCACTGTCTGTCACTGCTGTCTTCAGATGGCTATACTTCCAGTAGCCATCCTTTATTTTGTCACTCAACAAGGGGAACTAAATGGTGCCACAGATTTGAGGATCTCTTGAGATACAAATAGATACAAATAGGATTTAAAATTAAGTGTAAATAGACTTATTGCTGAATGGGTAATTTGAAAATCATCCTGTAAATAATAATTTCCTAGGAAAAGCAATAGCACTCACTATAAATGCTACAAACACATCCATGTTTCAGAACATGTGCAGCTAACCTTATGCAACAAGGTGGTTGCATATGAGAATTTTTAAGTAAATAATTTTGGAGGTTCAAGCACTCAGAAAACTACTAAAATCTAGTTTTATGCTTGTCATCGTGATTTTAATTCTGAGTTGTAGCATATCAGAGTTGACATACATTGATGTCAGGGGTCTGCAGTTTCATCTGCAGCCTTTAATTATCACATACTTCTCTGCAGTCCAGAAAGAATGGTGATATAGTCTATGGTCACGTTCACTAGCACAGTTTATCGCACAAGTTATAGTGAGGCTAGTGAACTTTCAGAACACGTAGAGTGTCAGAAGATTAACTGTAAAAATGTGTTTCAAAATAATAAAAGGAGTTAAAAAAAAATGTAGCTTGTTGCTTTTAACCATGCTCCTTAAGAATTTTCAGAAGACTATCAAAAGGCAATTCTGAAAGGCAAAATTAATTTCATGTTTCCTGTTCTCTTTCAATGTGAAGGTACAGCAGAGCTCTTGAAAGGTTAGAAAAGATTTTGTAGTAAGAATACCTATTCTTTCCCAAACTTAGCTTGGAAAAAACACATGCCATATTTTCCTTGAATTTTCTTATCAAACATTCCAAAGAAACAAGAACCCTAGCAAATACCTATAAAGACAGCAATGCATTATGGGAGATGTAGTCCAGGCTATAAATCCAATTTAGTAATGAGAATGAAAATATGCAAAACCCCAATCTCATGTCTGCTATCTTATCATTAAATTGAACATTGTATTTTCCAGATGGGATACAGGAAAGTGGAAAGGAACATTTCCATTAAATCATGTTCATTATGATTAACAGTCTTTTTCCTGTTTTCAAATTCATACTATGTTAAAGCCAAGTTTAAAGATTTATCTGTAATTTATACTACCGTATGATCAGAATCAGGTAGTGCATGTTACTGTAGGTTATATGCCTCTATAGAAATTAAATGTATGCACATACACATTTTTAATTCATTAATGATTTCAAGCTATTATGATCTTGCTGTATCAACGCTTGTATTATAATGCAGGTCCAGTTACTATGTCAGTAGATATAATATACTTTATTCAGTTCACTGGTGGTTTTTTTTACTTTAAAAATCCAATTTGAAACCATGGAACACTACTTAATCTAAATTTATGCATTAATTTCCTTTGTTTAAAATTTATGTACCTAAAAGTTGAGTTCCTATAATCTTCAAAGGCCAAATTGTGAGGAATGGTTTTTTTCATTATGCTACTTAATGTTACGTTTACTGTCAGAAATGCCTTAAGTTTTTACTGATATCCCATCAGCTATGGATTTGTATAATCCACAAGGATACAGATGAAAGTTTGCAAAATTATTTGAAAACTTTCTAAAACAAGTTAATATCACTGAGATAGATGTATTCAAAAAGGACTTCATTCCATTCCTTCAAGCCTGTCCTGGAATCATAGAAAGACCCCTAAGATCATCTAGTTCAACTGTCCATCTGCCACCAATATCACCCACTAAACCCATATTCCTTAGTACCACATACACGTTTCTTGAATAATTCCAAGGGACAGTGACTCCACCACCTCCCTGGGCAGGCTGTTCCAGTGCCTGACCGCTCTTATGGTTGTTACGTTAGTAAACATAGATTAGAAAAAAAGCATATCTTATGGCTTTGTTTCATTAAAATGAAAAATAAAATTTAAGAAGAGATAGAAGAAGTGGGACAGAGTTGCTGAAGACCTGTTTTATACTTTGAAAAAAAACAGATGAAATTTGATTCGTCAAAAATGTTCTGTGATATAGTGAACCTTATTAGCCCTGAAATAACTTCGGAAGTCTGTTTTTTATGGGTGTTGAATTAAAACCTTAATTCGCAGTGTAACTGACATAATGTCTCTCCGCAGTCATAACATGAATCTTGCTGATCACAGAGTATTTTCTGTAAAAACATAAAGTAAGGATAAAATATTCCAAAAATAGCATCTAGCCTTATGCTAAATATATACTGTCCATAAAGTAGGAGAACAGTTTATAAACTCTACTCTCACAATTTTTGTTAGCTATAGCAGTTAGAATAAATGAAAAGCTGCTTGATATAGCACAAATGTAGCTCAGAGCTGCATCTTGAAATGAAGAGGTTAGACCTGAGAGCAAGAAGGTTGTTGTAGAATGAAAGTGAGTTGTGTTTTTTTCTTGAGTGAACTATTCATTGACACAGGATTACTACTTAGAGAAGTAACCAAAGAGAACTAGTGTACTTGTAAGGAAACTGCAGTTAAAAGGTGGTGGTGTTGCATCCTACCTTGTACACATTGATAGGAATATCAATGACAATATAGATAAGGTCTCCTAGTGCCAGACTGGCTATCAGTGCATTCGGGCCATTCCTCATACACTTGTTCTGGTAAATGATCCTCAGCAGAGTTGCATTCCCAACCATTCCAACGATGAAAATAGCACAAGATACCACTGTGTTAATGTATTTAAAAGTTTCAGCAATCTTAGTCTGCTGGGAGCATTTGACAGTTTGGTTGGATACCAGGGGCCGTCTAGTGGCGGGGAGTAAGCTGGATTCAATCCCTGAGGAAGTGGAAAGGTGGATTCCCACATCACTCCGATTAGTAGCGTATCTGTCAGAGCTGTCACAGAGGACAAATCCCAAAAGCAGCAGCAGCAAAGAAACTCGTAAATACAAGGCTTCCATCACTAAGTCCCAAATGGGCAAAGTCAGCGAGACAGGTTTTTTCAGTATCTCAGTGAAATACTTTTGCACCTGCAGAGAAAAACAATTAAAAAAAAACAACACAACATCAATACACCAAGGAAGGTAACACAACCTATTTCTCATATAGAAAGAAGGGTATTTGTGCACTTTCTATAGTGCATGTATGTAAACACTTGTTCATCATCATCGTCTTACTCTGAAATGTAGATTGCCCCCGTTTATGAATTCTCTAACAAAACACAAAGACAAATGAGATCCTGCAGAATCCTCTTAGTTGGAGACAGAATTTGTATATGAAAATATGATGGGTGAAGCTTTGTTTTAAAATGCAGTCTCGCAAGAAAAATATACCATTAAAGGGAGTCCTTGGAGACTGTTCTATGGTATTTTAAACAAAATGAAAGGTTATTATTTTGGCTATTAAAAGGCAAGGTACCAATTCTGCATTAATAATTATAGGCACTATGTTTGTTAATTTTTTTAGTTTTTTTAATATATTTTGCAATAATTAGGCTTTATGTTATTTTTTTTTCTGACTTTATAATTACCCAGATTTCAGAACTGTGAAAATACACGTATTTCAAATCAAAATTTGGATTGGATCCAAAGTCCAAAGATAATAGGAGGAAGACTTTCATAATCTCAGGACATTTGACCAGGAAGAGCCCTTAAAACTTCTTGTGTCAATTCACTGAGATAAAGTCTTTGGTTCTTGAATAATGTAATTGTAGCTCATGTTGCAGTCCTTATCCAGGGTTAAGTTAATTATAAAAAAAATTAAGCTCTTCCAAAGACAAAAAAAAAAACAAAAAAAACAAACAAACAAACAAAAAACCCTTGGTTTAGTATTCTAAGTGATAACTCTTGACATTTCCAGATAGGAAAGGAAGCATCATAGCATTCTGTCCTGGTATAACTGCCTGTTTGTATCTCCAGAGTTGTTGGCTCCTGCTGCAGGGGGCAGATAGCACCTTCTGTGAAACCTCCCTCCATTTCCTTCAAATCTCGGTCTAATTTAGGATGAAGTTTCTTTAGGTGGCTTGTGTCAGTGTTGCCAAAAGAAGAGTAGAAAGTCAAGTATTTATAACTTTCTGATTTCTGGAGACTCGCATGAAGGATTTGGGAGGATCCTTTAAATTAATCCTTATTTAATTCCCTACAGAGCTATTAATTCAGTTTATAACAAGAAAACAATTTACAACAGAAAAAATGTGGCAGACAACTTACTGATAGGAGCTCTGAGTGCAGCCACACTATAAATATTTATTGTTATCTGTAAAAGTGTGTGTGTGTAGCTGTATACAGCTTCTGCAATGCTAATGGATATTTGTCTGGTATGCAGAGCGTATGCAGACCAATGATCCAAGCTGAGTCTTCTGCCTTGGTGCATCTGAGATGGCCAGCTGACCAACTGTGAGTACCTGTGCGCTTTTAAAGTTTTATATGCTGAACAGCAAATCCTTCTTTGTGAAATGCCTGCTGCAATGGTATGGTCAGCAACAGTCAGCTGGGTTGGAAGAATGGAAGTGCTTTTGCTTTAGGATTCTAAACCATATCAGAAATAGCAGGCAACTTTTTTTTACCACAACTCTTTTCAGGCAAATATTTATACTTATATCATTTACAGTGACTACAGCTCCCATAGACTCTTTTAGTCACAATATAGTACACTCCTTATTTAATGACTCTTTCCTGTGACAACTTAATATGCACGTGCTATATGGCGCGGTAATCACACAGGCAGCACGCAAAGCTGGGAACAAAACTGCCAGTTGCCATCTCTTCCCTCTCTCAGCAGAACTTTCCCATAAGAAGCAAAATTAAATTGTGTTTTTATAGAATAATTTTTAACGATCTGTGGATTCCTGACAAATCCACGGTGTCTATGTTATTACAGCGTATGATAACAACCCGCGACCTGCCTCATGTAGGTAACACGTCGGTACCCTTACTAACTTTCTGCAGTAATGTAGTCTATTTTTCTTCTTCCGCACGGTATGAGGCGGTGGGGCAGACCTGCAGGCCACGTGCATGTGCTGTCTCTGTGCTCGGTTACAAAGTCCGGACTCGGGGACATCCCGTGCTGGGGTAGCAAGCCCGAAGCTCACCGCGCCCCGAATCGCAAGGAGAGCATATCGTTGGGAGTGAAAGCGTTCCCAGTATTAAAGAAGAGCTAAAACGTGAACAACGCTTTATATGCCCCAAAGGCGGCTGAGGTGGGAACAAGATCTAATAAACCAGGGCACGAAAGCCGTGAAAGAAGCAGCGCCGACAAAGTGAGTTTCTCGGAGCTGTCTCCCACCGCGGCACAGCCAGCGCTCCTCGCTGCCGGGATGACTTCCTCGCAGTTCTCCCGCTAACACAAAAGGCTCTCCCTCCACCCGCACCGCTACCGGGGATCCACCCTCGGCCCCATCCTCCGGTCACGCCGTTCCTCGCCATTACCTGCGGGCTGCTGCCCCGCGGCCGGCTCCGCGCACTCAGCCCAGCCGTCCGGCCGGCCCCGGCTCCGCGCTCATGCTGCGGCTGCTGCCCCCGCTGCCGCGAATTCCTCCGAGAGCTTTTCCTGGGATAGTCTCGGCAGATCCTCCCGCCTGCCGCTGACTGGGTGGGATAGACAATCTCCACCTCCGCTGAATCAGTAACGGAAAGACAGACTGAAGCAGAAGGCTGAGCGTCCTCTCCGTTCTGCCCCCTCCCCCAATTAAAACAAGCCTGCAGCCCGAACCGAGCCCCTGCCAACGTTAAACACAAAGGCTGCCTCCCGGGCACGGGGGAACACTGAGAGCTCTTTAACTGTTTCGTCTCTGAAATGGAGGTGAACTACTTGACTGGGCTCATTTAAGCAACAGCTTTTGGGAATCCAGCCATTCCTGTAGCTGCCTCTTAATAGCGCATTGGGTTCACGCAAAGGTTGTATGTCTGATTCAATCAGACGACTTACGAGCCGCAACCAGACTAGGAAAAAGAAAATATGATTAAATGCACAACTTTTGTTTGCATTTTCCCCTGACTTGGTCAGGATTATGTTTGCGAGGCAATTGGTAAAACTGGATGCACAGAAGTTTCAAAAACTCAGGATCTGTAAAGTGTTCTTGGGTGAATTTTTCTGTGGTCCATCCAGGACATATCTTGTTAATACCTTTTATTTTTCAAGACCAAAAACACATCTACAAAGGTGATAAAATTGTAGGATTTTCTGGCATTCATGCATCTCATAATGCTGCTCTTCAGACTAGGTAGTGGAACAAAAAAAACTTAAGCAGCAAGTTGGGAAGTTCTCTTATAGTTAACAATCTTCTCTCAGTATGAAGAAACAAAGAAAGAGTGCAGCTTGAAATTGAAACAGTTTCAAGTTCCTTTCACTCTAACAAGTTTAAGAAACGTTGAATCCCTTGTTGAATCATTCCAAGGTCCTAATTTCATGGCAAGTTTCCATCTGGCTTTAGCACAGAAATAATTTTCTTCTTTTGAGGCAGTCTTCCTAAATATAATATAAAAATGCGTGGTCCTAAAGAACTCAGAACAACCTAAAAAGAACAACAGAAAAATGCAATGCCCAGTAGCCTGCAGAGTTAAGATACCTGGTAGTAAATCATTTAAGAAGTTGTTTATAACTTTATGAGTACTGCACAGTTAAAAGAATGTTTCTGTAGACATTCTCTTAAGTCACCTGATAAAGCTTGAACAAAAAATCCCACAAAATCTGGGTATCTGGATCAACTAGAACAGCAATGCTTCATTTCTTCTAGAAAGCCATCTGTATTAAATGTGTCAAAGTGCAAGATCGTTCAAGGAACCTAAGTGTTCAGGATGAGAACCACAAGAAGCCTACTGCTTGCAAATCAGATATGAAAGTTTAATTCAAAATCTTGTGTTACTTTGAGCTGAAAAAATGCTGACTAAATTGTCCATCTGACATTAGTAAAAGTTATTTTAAAATTCTTCAGTTTGGTGAGATGCTTAGTATTAATGATGTGCTTTATCAAGAATCATCTGTATGATAACGTGCTGGAAAACCTCTTGAAGTGCTAGAAAGTCTGTACTTCAAGTTCACGCACACATTATGGAGTGCTTTCTCTAATGCAATTATTGAATCTTTTGTATGTTCTCTAGACATTCTTAACACCCTGATCCTTTGCTACAGTCATTTGAGTCCTATTGTCCAAAAAAAGTAGAATTGTGTGATGAACACTATGAAATTTCGATATGTGCTCTCATTCCAAAACACGTTTTCCTTTCAATTAATAATTCCATTAATTTGGAGGGTTTGTATCATATGTTCATACACTGATGTGTTTAACTATATTTTCTATTAAATGGAATAAACAGATCTGCTATTGCCATTAAATTTTAAAATACAAAAGAAAGAAGTATTTATTAGCATTTTGTTTATAACCATTTTGCTTTCTTCTGTTATTGCCAACCCACATAAGTAGTATTTATTACTAGAAATTACTGAATTGCTCATAGCAATTCTGTGTTCTTTGTTTTTGTTTTTGTTTGTTTGTTTGTTTGGATTTTTTTTTTTTTTTTACTATTAATTAATTGGGCCTTTTTTCTGTCTTTAATTTTGACAGGTGTCTAAAACTGGATTGAATTCTTAAACTCAGAAGTTGTAATTAATCATTCCTGATAGTTTTTGTTGTTGGTTGTGGTTTTCTTTTTTTTTTTTTCTTTTTCAGGAATTATTTTGGAAAAGTAATGGATCATGTATGAACTATTCTTAAATTGAATTTTCAAATGCAGTCAACCTCAGCTACTAAGAAAAGTGACTGTATACAGTTCTTCACACCAGTATATTTTTAAGTACAACAAAAGCTTTCACTGCTGTTACAGGACTGCTTCGTACATGCGTTTTTTTTTTATGGAAGAGCTCTTGACTAAGATCTCAGTATTTCAGAATCATTGTAATGAAGTGTTTCGTTTGACCTCAGCTTTCTGTCTTCAACAAACTACTTGGCTTGACTTGCATAACTGCAAAGATTCAGAGTAAGGGTAACTTACTCATCTTATGACACAGAATCTCATTTTATTTAATTTTAAGGATATCTGAATTTTGCAGCTAGAGTCATTCTTCAAAAAGACTCAACATTTTTGAAAGCTGTTGGTTTTCCTGAAGAATTCAGGAGTTAGAAAAGTATGCTTTGTTACAAGGTTATTAGACAAATGTACCTGCGGTGACTTTTATATAGGTGTATACAAGAGAAAATACAAGATGATCTTTAGCTACATTTGGATGAGCTAGTTTGGACTCAAGTGCATCTCCTCTGAATTAGAATGAAGTAGAAACATATGTTCATGAGTTCACAAAGTCTAAAATCCCATTCACAAGATTCAAAAGGCGAAAATAGATATTGGTCTACCATTGGCGTTTCATAACATTTCAGTTTGCCATGTCTTTAATTTGTAGCATTTCCAGAAAGTCAGAAGAGTTATTTATGGCAAAGTATGTAAATATCTAGTTGTTTTCTTTCTTCTACTTGATATGAATTCATAACACAAAGTGAATTATAGTGAGTGTTCCTTTAATACTAGTTTACTATAATGTTGGAAAAGTTATATGTATGAGAACCACTTAAATGTTTCTGCATTTGGAAAGCTGTGGAAAATTGAAAGGAAAAAAAAAATCATGCTAGTGCTTCTTAAATCTAAGTCCTCCATCTTGTTCTCGTTAGCCATAATTTATATCTGTTTAAATTTCAAGCAGATGTGGAAAACTAAAATTATTCAATATGAAAAATAATTTTTGAAATTAATATCATTTCTTGCTTTATTGAAAGAGCTTTTTCATGATCCACCTGTAGTGGGGCAGCATTTGCCTCCCAGCCTTGCTGTCTATTTTGACCAGTAACTAATAAAGTATCAGAATAGCAGAATAGCAAAATTTTACCAAACTACTCTCTTGGTCACTAGTGAAAGATCCATGGCCAAAGGTGTCCCTGTGTTTAGAAACGTTGACACCTTAATAGATCCTGTGCTATTTAGACTCAAATCCAATCCATTGATACATGAGATCCATTTCTCCTTATTAGTAGTTGAAAGAAATTGCCTTAAGACCACTGATTAAAGTAATTCCACCTTTACCTTACACTAATGACTAAAGATGATTTTATTCATGTTTTGAAATATATCCTGAAGTGGAAGGTCTATGAATAGAACATATAAAAAGTGAGAGGAATGTTAATGTGCTAAGACCCTGAAATTAGCTACAAGCTCAGGGATTCAAGGAACCTGCTCAAAAAGACTAGACTTCAATGATAATAGATAAGAGAATTTTACATGACATCCTAAATATGAAGTAATAAATAAATAAATAAAGAACTGTGAAATACAAAATCATATAGGATGCCTGTTCTATAGTTTTGCAATGAGTGAAACCATGCAATGAGTGACTGTGTCACTACTAAAAAAGAAAAATTAGGAGTAGATACAAAGACAAAGCAAAGTTTGTTTGTTTTAAAGAACACTAAGATTTAGAGAGTAGGTCAGATTATTGGGGTTTTTTTGGTAGTTCATTTGGTGGTTTTTTTTTTTTTTTTGTTTGTTTGTTTTTAATTTTACTTCACATAAGCAAGCTCCAAACCATGTTAGCAGATGGGAGCCTGTGCAGAACACACTTTCTGTGATAGAGGAATGCTATTCTACTGCCAGATCCTTCTGTTATTATATTAATCACTTGTAAAATTATCTAGAGAAGATAGTGAGATATTAGAATGCCATTTTATCTTTATCTAAATAAGATTAGAGTTATTTCTATTGACAACTCTGCAGTGAAGATGTTTTTCGTGGAAAACCCTGACTCATTTCGCTTATTTCTAATGTTTCCAAGTTATCTATTTTTTTTATTAGCCTAACTAAATCTTAATTAAAATAAGCAATGTGTTCATTTATTTTGATACAGCAAGTTAATCTTCTTGTATTATTCAGTGTGCAGTGGTTACCTTAATGTAGAATTAGAGAATTACATAATTGCAGGGGCTGAAAGGGACCTCAAGAGATCATTGAGTCCAAACCTGCTTCTAAAGTAGGCTCCCTGCAAAAGGTTGCACAGGTAGGCATCCAGATGGGTCTCAAATATCTCAATAGAAGGAGACTCCACAACCTCTCTGGGCAACCTGTTCCAGTGCTCCATCATCTTTACTGTAAATAAGTTCTGTTTGTGTGAAACTTTGTAAGTTCAAGTTTTAGGCCATTACTTCTTGTTCTATTGCTACACACCACCAAGAAGAACCTGGCCTCATTCATTTGCCTTCCATTTCCTCTAGATATTTATAAACATTGATCAGATCACTCCTTTGTCTTCTTTTCCCCAGCCTGAACAGACCAAGGTTACTCTCATGTGAGAGATGCTCCAGGTCCTCTATCATCTTTGTGGCCCTCCACTGAAATGTTGGGAGGAAACTAACTTTGGCTCATTTCATTTCTCTTCCATCTGAGCTTGTAGAGAGCCTTATCTGACCTCTTTTGCTATGTTCGTTCTAAGAACTTATCTTCCAAGTATATAATATATATATATATATTTTAGACATTAAACCTTAACAACAGCACTCATCTGCTCTTTTTTCTACTGATTCTTCTCCTACCCAAAGTTGATGATCAACTGTAGTTTCTCACGCAGTTGGTAGTGTGTGTTATTTGTTCATACACTAAACATTTCCTAGTTTACCCTAAATCTTACAGTGCTGTGGTTTGGTGTGATAAGGAAAGAAGGACAAGCAAATTGAGAAAATGTCATGCCTCTGGATGGCAAGGCCCCCCCTGTAATATCCCCCTTGGGTGCTGACTCCCCAGCCCTGTAGGAATGGCTGGTCTTTGCTGTTCCCAGAAAGAAGGCATGCTGGAATGAAAAACAAAGGAGTGAACTCCAGTGTCTCAGTCCAATTATCCTAGACAAAAGATCTAACTCAGTTACAATGTCTTTGAACAGACACCTTTTATTTTTTCCCACTGGTAACTGCAACCATGTATTTTCTAATCAAATTTCTCACTATGAAAGTAATGTCTCATACTTATTTCTATGGAACCTACAACAGATACAAAGAAAACAATAGCACTTTCTAAAAGAGTAAATTCTCAGCTACAAAACACTATTTTTCAACATAGTTACCCCCGTTAGCTATGCATTTCCAGCAGAGATGAACAAGAGCTTGCATGCCATGCTCGTAAAAATCTGCACCAGCAGAATTGACCTACTGTTGCTGTCACCACTGCTCTAATGCACCAGCCACCACCACTTCACAGTGCTAACGTGCACTTTTTGGTCTTCATAAATGTTCAGCAAGTAGTGGTAAACGTCAGTGGGTGCAATTCTTTCAGCATGGAGGAATTCAGCAAAATCTTTGTTTCATATGCGCTTCTTTCAGATGCCTTTTTATCAGACAGCCCCTCTGCAGCCATCTGTTGCACAGCAACAAAACATTATGGAATATTGGTGGGAAAGTTCAACTTCTACCACTAACATCTGCCTATGGTGTTGAAGGCCAGTATAATATAATAGGAGGCGTTATGTTCAGAGCAGCTCTCGTAATATGTAACTGAGCTGCTCTCTGTGTATCAAGCCACTGTTGTGGTACTACCCAGTGTAATACGAGATAAATTATGAACAGAAAAACTCCTATAGCAAGGTATTTGTATCAAGCTGTAACACAAAACTATTCCATCTATATAGATTGAAAAATACAAAAGTTCAAGGCTATGCTATTTCTGGGCACCGTAGTGTAACCAATAACTTTATCTGATAAATCTTATGACTATAGCAAAAATACTATTACTATTGCTAATAAATAAAATAATGTATTGTGGGTAACAGGAATTAATATATTTTTTAAGTGTTCAACTTCTACTTCTCCTTGTCACAAACTTTCATCAACTCTTGTTAATTTAATATGCTATTCAATTTAAATATTCAGGAAGTAAGTTAAAAAATACCAACAATAAATATATGCAAATATATTCTTATGTATTCCTGGAACCAGTGAGTTTATAATTTGCATCATGCTTTCTTAAGGAAGAATATCTGGAAAAGTCACTTTTCAGTGCTTTAAAAACATCAAACTCATATGTTCTAATCCATAAGCAAATATAATGCTAAATCTTAACTACCTCAGATCTAAGACAGTGGAAATGTGAGGTTCTCTTTCATCAGAAGGAAGTTTTGTAGTTATTTAGAATAGAATATTATGAATATACTGAAAAAAACAAGCAAATTCTCATGAAACATAGATTGAAATGTTTTCACTACTGTGATCAAACATTACATATTTACTTCAGACCCATCTGGAGTACTGCATCCAGGTCTAGGGCCCCCAGTACAAGAAAGACAGGGATCTTTT